TTTGATATTTTTAAATTAAAAAACATTTTTTTTATTGCAAACTCTAACTTCCGATGGCCTTCCGATTCCTGCGTTTATATGTAGAAAAAATTTATTTTAAAAATAAAGTGTTAGACCAGAACCTGATGGTGGTATCAATTCTGTGTGTATCAACATAAAAGACTTTATGTGGGTTCTTTGAAAAATTATTTTTAGCTCAGTATCTTATAGTTATCTCAGCATCTTTATTTTATCGAGACTTAAATCTAACGTTGTTCGCTGACCCCTAGACTGAGAAATAGTGTGTATTCCCCTATTTGTACCTGAGTATTTGTTTAGTTTTGTAAGTCGAGTAATTAGAAGCAAAATAATTTCCATTTGAATCATTGAATTCAGACGCTATATCTGTCAAGTAAAAGCAATTCAATATTGATTCTAAGTATGCTGTGGATACAATCAAAGTTCTATCAGTGAAAGTGAACCTTTAAAATGCAGCTTTCCTTCTCTGGACTTCCCTCTTCTGACGTACTTTTAATCGCAATGTATGAGCTTAAGAAATCCGTTTTCTCGGAGTTACATGCGAGTTTTTCATGTTTCAATCCGAAATGTTAGGTTACTCAAATAACTTTCAGCTGTCATAAAATGTTTCTTGCCTCATGACGTCACTTTTTAGTCCCACGTCAAGTCCTAAACTGTCTTATTTGCTAGCACATGTGACTGGATCCTTTTTCTTCCGTTGTTTATTCAAGCGAAACCTATTTTTATCATTATTGCTTTTCCATATCAAGGCATGGATTGCCTCATCTGTAAAGCATAAACGGATAAGACATCGCACCTATCATTTGCCATAACTTTTGAGAACCAATGAGACTTTTCGAAGTTCTACCCCAGTTTTGAATCGAGAACACCTCGATAGAAAGCAGATATCATGTACCGCTCTTATCCTATTATTAATCTCTTGACAGGATTTCCAGGCAGGCAAAGGTACAGGTTGAAGCAAGGCCAGCACCTGAGCATCAGAGTAGTTATTAGGTATTGCCGGGCCTTGCTAAGTACTACATTTCGGCCTCATAGAATTCCGAGGGCAGGATTGTCATCCCAAATCCATTGTCAATCCCTCTTCTCCTACCAGCAACCTCTTCAGAGGATTTAGACTTGCTGTGTATTTTGAGTCCTTCCTTGCCGCACAGATACTATACGCTTACGAACATCCATGCTTTATCTGAGATTTAAATCCGGCACCTTCGGTATGGTAGTGAGAGTCGCTAATCACTAGTCTTTCTAAGTGGCAGGATTTTCAGACAGATGAATTTCTAGTCTTCCATTCCAAAGCCAGTGTAGTCATAAACATTATTACATTATCTGACATTTAAACCGAAGTAGATCGGTGTGATAATCAGCCTCCTCTAACCACCACTCCGATTGGGGTGACAGATATATGTCAATAAAAAGCTAGAACATACCAATTTATAAATTAAGGTAATCAAAATGTAGCAATCATTTTCAAAACATTTATGGCGTACGAAGCAAGCGCAATTTTTCATCGTCATCTTACTGTAAATTTAAAAAAAAAAAAAAAAAAAAAAAAAAAAAAAAAAAAGAGCTTGCTTATACTTATTTTTGAAAGAGCAAACCTTCACTCATAATTTACTCTTTAAATGTTTGATAAATTATGTTGCACTAGTAAAATGCAAGTGTATTTGAAAGAGCACTAGTATAATTTCAGCGAATTAGATTGAAAAGTGTAACTAATTTCTGTGCTCAGTTGTCTAAATGAGTTGTCTCAGTTCTCTCAAAGAATTAATCTGCATTTAAATTTGACGTTTCGGAATAATTACCTATAGAAGAGTTGTTAAGTTAGAGAAAGAAACAAATTTTATCCTGATAGCATCTTCAGTTAGTGAATTAGATTCCTTAAAACCTTTCACAGTCGTTAAAATATATGAATTTTAGTTCAAGATTTTAACTCCAAAAGTGTTTAAAAGACTAATCTTATAATTCTCGTCTCACTTTTCGCTCCTTAACTTTCAGTCGCCTGGACTGACTCAATGACTGACTGTGTTCAATACAATGGAATTATGATAAATTCGGAAAATATTGTACTTTGAATAAGAGAGATCCCCTTTGGACAGTCCCTAGAAATTTTAATAGAAGCCTTAATCTGAAACTGAGTTTATTTAATTTTAAAATAGGGTAATTTGTATAATTTCATCTGAAATTCTTTTAGAATTTTGACATGCTTATCATTAACTTCGTGTAAAACTTTCGCTATTTTCCACTAATTGCTTTTTAATGCTATTTTCTTTAGAGGAACGGGCTTCTCCCACAATTATATACTAATTATATATATATATCGCACTAAATGGATTTAAGATCATACAACATTATATATAATATATATATATATATATATATATATATAATTTTTATAATATTACGTATACTAATTTATCTCTCTCTCTCTCTCTCTAGCTATCTATATCTATCTATTTATCTATCTATCTATATTATCTATCTATATAGATAGATAGATAAATAGATATTTCTGATGAAATTTTTATCATAGAAAAGCAAAGTGTTTTTATCGGAAGGGGGAGAGGAAAAAAAAAGACATTGCTGAAATCAGTTTTTGCGTGCTACTTTTCTCTATTCTTTTTTATTATTTTTTTATTCACTGCTAAAGTATTTTGTTCTATACGTAAGTTAAGTATGGCATTAAAAATTTGTCGCATGATTGTTCGGTATCAGACTCATCTCTCACGTTTCAGATGATATTCCAGATAAAGTCGATCCAGCCTTTACACGAACGGTTGTAAGCGGATGCATTTGGAATAGCTGCAGACAAGTCACTTAAACAAAAGTAATAGCGTGAGCAAAAGAAAATTCGAAGCAATTTTTATTTTTCTTTCAGTTATATATTTTCTTGATACTACACTGCTGACCATTAAAATTGCAACACCAGGAAGGAATGATCTGACGAACGTCAAAAATCACGTGAAAGGAAGAAGATGTTGGGATATGCAGATGATTAGTTGTTTCAGCGCATAAGACCATGCAGGAGATAGAAACGATATCTGAAGCACTGCATAAAGACAAATTGTGTAGTGGATTTCTCATTCGGAAAGTGCCTTTTAAGGTTGGAGTTTGCTCAAAATATCATATCATGCCTCGAATAGGAAGAGGAAATGCTTAACAGCAAGTTTCGAAGTTGGATAGAGGCAGGATCGTTGCCTATCGTACATTATCGTTCCGTGGGCATCGCCGGTCGCACTGGTCGACATCCAACCACTGTCATGCGAATATGGAATCAATGGATTGCTGAGGGTCATACTGAACGGCATGCAGGATCTCAACGCCCTCTCATCACTAACGCCAGAGAGGACAGACATATTGTGATGTTAGCTCTGCAAAACCGTACGACCACATCACGGACCATTAGTCAGGAAATGGGCATGTTTGCAGCACGCCCAGTATCAGCTCGTAAGGTGCGTCGACGTTTGCAGAACCGTGGGCTGTCAGCAGGGTGACCATTACTTCGGCTGACAATGCAGCATAGAGAGAGATGGAAACTCTGGTGCGCCAGACGAAAAAGCTGGGTACAGGAGTGGCACAATATCGCCTTTTCAAACGAGTCCAGGCTCTACGTGCAGTATTCTGAAGGCCGTATTCTGGAGTGTCCGAGGAGACCGCACGTCGCCTGCTTGCATTCGATATCGGCATAGGGGCCTTGCACCTGGTATGATGGTTTGGGCAGCCATTGGGTACACGACACGCACATCTCTAGTTCGGATCGACGGTAATTTTAGCGCAGATAAGTGCATTTTTGACATCTTATGTCCGGTGGTTGAGCCCCAAATGCCATGTTCCAACAAAATAATGCAAGACCACTTGTTGTCCGCCGTGTTTCCTTCCTCAATACACAGGGTATTCGACTGCTGCCCTGTCCTGCAAGGTCTCCAGATCTGTCACCCATTGAAAACATCTGGTCATGGGTTGCTGAGAGAGTGGCCTGCCAACCCTCTCCAGCTAATATGGTTGATGAAGTGTGGCATAGACTTAAAAGCAGCATGGAATGAGTTGCCTATTTCTGTCATCCAAGCTCAGTTTGTCTCCATGCCTAATGGGGTAAGGGCTGTTTTAGATGCCAAGGGTGGCAGCTGTTCTACTAATTTCACACCCCTATAAACCTCCAAAATGCTTATAAATTTAATCATTTTTTCTTCATGCCTTACTGTTTACTTGCAATAAATATCTTTTTGTATTTGCTTTCCTTCATGGTGTTGCAGTTTTAATGGCCAGCAGTGTATTTGAGCAACATGAGAATGCCAGAACGTGTTCGAATATAGATACCTGGCACACATTTTCCCATAAGTACACCTAATTGTTTTTCTTCGCCCGCCTCAGATGTCCTGAAATTTAATGATATCTAATACAGCATTTGATTTAGCTAATACCATTATTAACCACATTTTTAATACCTTGTAGGATAGTTTTCACTTTTTAGTCATATATTATCTGAGAATTACTACTTGAAAGGAACATAAGACAAAACCATGCCAAATCTCGAATTCAGTTATAAAAACGGTTGAATGACTTATACGTTGGTGTTCAATTTCTTTGAAGTTACCTAGTTAAGATGGAAAAAAAACTGTTGACAGCAGAAATGAATATAAAATTGTAATATTTTTATCCCATCGATTTTGAAAATGAGATTATATAAGAAAAAACATTAAGTAAGGCATATCGGCTCTTTGTTTATTTCGACTCTGATGTATGAAATAGGTAAGAAGTTTTTCTTGATCTTATAAATCACAATATTACTTAGTTCCCTGAATACACAAACAACTAGCTTTTGTGTTTTTTATTTGTCACTGTTGAACACTTTACGTACAATAGGGAATTTTAAAAGTATTTTAGTACTTTTATAAGTGACTATTACACTATTTTTTCAAGATGTACCACAATTTAACTAATTTTCTATTTGATAATTTTAATACTGATGCATAATTATTCTTTTATAGTTTTGAATGTTGCCGTGGGAAAGGCGCCAATGCAGTCAAGCCTTGCTGGTAGCGGAATTCCTCAGAAGGCTATTGATGGAAGTACAAGTACATTCTTCAATCCAGATACTTGCAGTATGACACAAACTGAACGTTCACCGTGGTGGTATGTTAATTTGTTGGAGCCATACATGGTTCAACTGGTTAGGCTCGACTTTGGAACTGCCTGCTGTTGTAAGTACAATACTGAGATGTAATGTTTCTTGCTTATCAAAATGTGTCTCACATTGTTCCTTTTATTTTTAATCAAATTATTTCTTTTATTTTTTTCAGCCAATAACAGACCAGCAACTATTGTTGTTCGAGTTGGCAATAACAGACCTGATTTAGGCGTGAATCCCATATGCAACAAATACACTGGTTACATAGGTAATAACTAATTCCAAATTTCTACGACTGATTATTATTATGTTTAGGTAAGATGTAGATAAATTAATAGAGTTAGTGTAACGCTACTTATTCTTATTTTAAAGAGGAAGGACGTCCGCTGTTTCTGCCATGCACTACTGCAATGCCAGGCGCATTCGTCAGCGTGTACCTGGAAGATCCTCCTTCTAACCCATTATCAATTTGTGAAGCTTTTGTCTACACGGACCAAGGTAATTTAAGCATGTTCCTTATCGGAAATTCTACACGAACTATTAAACTATTAACGTAGCATTAATAGGAATTAAGTCGTCTGTTTCTGAAATCTGGAACGTAAATGATATGAAACTGTATTTCAGGAAGCATTTGTTAAAAGCACAGACTTTCATAAACATATAAAGCATAAACTTTTAAACAAAGAATAAACCTGTCTGCCGTAATAAAATCCTAAAGTCACGTGTAGTGTCCCCTAATTTAAGCTGAATTCGATCCCTGACTGGAACAACAATAAAGTAATAAGAACTGAATAATATATGAAATAAAATTAGCAGCATGGAAATATTACAGTGCAAACAATCGTAAATATCCCGAATCTTTGGGAGTCTCAGTTGTTGAATGTAAAGCTTTAAAGATATGCTAATTTTGCTAAACACTGCAGCTTAATTAATTTTTTTATTGATATTTCCCCCAGTAGTGTGGAAGTTATAGTCACTTTTGTTTGTTCTTTTTTAGTTAGAGGTTTTTCTCTCTTTCTCATTCCCACTCTTTCAACAAATTTCGTCTTAACTAGTGCATTTCAATTCTATCCCATTTTCAGATTTTTCTACTCACGAATACCTCTTTCAGATTTCGTTTTGGACCTAATTAGTTCAAATCTTGGCGAACGAGCTGGCTTCGAGGGAATTTTCTTGGTTTTCCCCATGTGTAACGAGCCAGCTTACCTAAAACGTCATTTCTAAAATGTCTTCCCTCTTCTTAGGCAGATAGCCATTGCATACTTTGCTATAATCCATTTCAACCAATGAATCTTTGTGGTATAGTGGTCAGCACATCCAATGTAGGAAAATGAAAAGTCTCAGGTTCGATTCCCGTCCAGGCTTACTGTTGATTTTTTCTCCTCACAAAAACATATTGACTATGCAACGTTGTACTTTATTTTATGTAAATCTTAGTTTCATCTACAATAATAATATATATATATATATAAATTACTGGAGATGAAATATATATACTAGTAAGCCCCTGATTCTGTAACGAATGGAACAAGCGAACGCATGTAACTCGCTGCGGAATGAGAATGGGATGCTATAAACGCAGCGCATGCAGATAAGGAAAAATTTGACCACTCTTTCACGTTGCGGAAATGTAGCAAGGGGAGACATGTGACCTTGTAAGATCAGCTGAGTGCATCCACTCCACACATTTTTTTCCCCTCCTCGCCGTTTCTAATATAAGATATTCCTATATTTATAATCAAGTAAGAGGGATAAATCCATCGACTGGAAAAAGATTATATTTATATATGTATAAAGAGAAAATGACACAGAATTTCGTACTAGGGGCAATACAAGAGTTTAAACATTTATTATTATTCTTTGGCTCACAAAATTCAGCTAAATGCCTAGACACCAAGACCTAGCAATTAAGCTGCTAATAAATACTAAAAAAGTCATTCGAATGCATAGATATGATTCAAACCGCATTTAAAAGCTGAAAAATAAAATCTCCCTGAGTTGAAACAGGCAATTCCTGTACATTTCAAAACTTTTATAAAACATTTTTAAATGTTGACACTTATTCCCCAAATACTGTTATAGATAATTTGTGATTTAACTGCATTTGTTTGAATATAAAATACATTTCATTGATTTCATGTGACATACGTTATTATTATTTAATTTATATATTTATCTTTTTTTTTTTTTTTTTTTTTTTTTAAATTAGCTTTGCCCATTGAACGGTGCCCATCATTCCGAGATCAGCCTCTTGGTAGTACTGCCACGTATAATGGAAAGTGTTATATCTTCTACAATAATCAGCCACGAAATTTGCTGTCTGCAAGACGATTTTGTGAAATTCGCGGCGGAAATTTGATTGATGAAACTAGTCCAGCACTCCAAGGATTTTTGAGTTGGGAACTTTTCCGAAGACATCGCAATGATCCTAACGGACAGTACTGGCTGGGAGCTGTAAGAGATCCCAGAGATCCGAATAACTGGAAATGGATTAATGGTGAGAGAGAAAGAATAAAATTATTTTCACGGACGTGCGAAATATTAGTAAATTATTATGTCCAGCCCATGAAAATTTGATTTCAGGACCATTAAAATAAAACGGAAATAACTGCTGGGTGTAGTTTGAGATCTCAACATAAAATATCAGCAAACATACTCATTCTTTTCATTTCAGACTTTTATTTTTATTTTTTTAATACTCGATCCAAGGTTCAAACATTTTGAGATAAAATGTTATGGTAAGATAAAAAATTAAATTATTAAATTTCATATGTATGTTCTTGAACGTAAGAATTATGGATAATGACGGTAGGAACTAGTGTGCTTTCTAGAAATGCCTCTCTTTATTTCATATTATACAGGATGGCTCAGAAGAAAATGCGACATTGCTTTGTGGCGTATTCAGGAAGTTTAGACGAAATAAAATGCCATTATATTGGTTACAATACACTGCTTCATTCTGGAGATATGTGACATCAAAATCTCGAGGTTTCTGTTCTGGCTAGACGAATAAATGGACTCCGTGAAAATCACAGGCCTGCAGTGTCTCGCGTGAAGTAACTCGCAATGATTGCTCAAATTGCATTACTGGATTATGGATTGATTGACACATTCAAAAATTTCTGCATTGAACGCTAGTTGAATGCACGCAGTAAGCTTCTTTTAGAAAGCAGCCGGTTTCACATGGCCATACTCGACAAAGTCGATGGATTTCAAGTCTAGAACTCTATATATAGAGAGAGAAAATCACCAAGAATAAATTACCTACCTTTGACCAGCCGGAATTAAAGCCAAGGATTCTAAAATCACTTATCTTCAAAAGGAAATGGTATGCCGAAACCGTTCCATCAGCCTTTTGTTTCTTTTAATCTCTCGAATAGATCATGTGTCGCATTTTTTTTTCTGAAATATCCTAGATATAAATTATTTTCGAAGGGCTAAAAACATTAGTGTCAATAAGGGTAAAAAAATAGCGTTTCTATCATTTCAAAAGAAGTACGAGTCGTAAAACATTACCACTCACACCATTTAAAAACAATATAATTTTAAAAGCAATGTTTTTTTCACCTTGACAGATCCGATGTAAGCAGCTTTAGTTTCTATATTAAGTTTCCTATTTGTAATATACATTGCGCTGCCTCAGAAACACTTATTTTTTAAAAATGTTGCCAAGTTAACCGACTCTTCGGTAGACTTTCCTTAGCACATTACTGATTATGAACTATGCATGCAGTATGAAAATTGCCACTTATTTTTAAATCTTTTTAAATCTGCCTGCATATGTACATATATAAATGTACAGAAAGAGCGAAAAACAGAGAGTAGATAAGTGTTTTCTATTTCAACTAATGTTAACATAATTTATTTCAGATTTAAGCTACGTATGATGTAATTCAAATTTAAAATGTCATAAAACAGATGACGATCGCATTTCTTTTTTGTGGAGGTTCTCATATAAAATTTAAAAACCATAAATTTTAACAACGCTATCCATCTGCTTTGCTACTTAAAACTGAATGGGTTTTCTCAAAAGTATGCTATAAATAAATGAACTTGCACATTTTTCTGTAAATGTTAAATAATATATATGTGCTTTTGTAAGAAGGTAAATTTATTCCTATTGTGACTGGTAAATCAAATGATTTCGCAAAAGTTTATATATATATATATATTCATTTTATGGAAAAGCATGTGATTTTGCAATCATAATTGCGTTGTAATATTTGCATAAGTTTTGTATAATAAATTTCAATTTCATGCATTTAAATCGTAACTTAACATGCTAGTCTCGTACAGCAATGGTGGCGGGAATGAAAAATCTGTCTTTTTCATATGGGGTAAGTACTTTAATTCTAAACTAATCGTATACATCTTACGATATGAGGAACAGAATAAAGGTAAGTTTGAAAAATGTATCATATAGCAAGGCTTGAGGTCTAAAGCAGGTAAATGCTTTGAACATTTACTCAGTTTGGCCCGCGAAGAAAATAAATTGTTTATCTAATCTTTTTCCTTACAGTGCTGCTTGTAACACTGAATGGTATATTGGAAATTGATATCTCATGAAAAGCAAAAATTAAATATTAACAGACTAAACATTCCTAATTTTTTATTCGTGCTTTTGATTCAAATCAAAAGCCGCTATTAACGATTTTGTTTTGTATCAACATTAGAGAATTTTTTACATGGAATTTCCTTTGCTTAAAATAGGACAAGATGTGACTGTGTCCTTTTGGAATGTTCCTGGAACAAAAGAAAATTGCTCGAGATTTGATGGCTCCAAAGGATGGCTATGGTCTGAAACAAACTGCAATTTAAATTTGAATTTCATATGCCAGCATAGTAAGTTTCTAGATGCGTTTATACATATTTCGTAGTGAAGTTACATGTATGTAACTTTTGTATATGATATCAAATTGTTTCCGTTAACATTCTCTGAAGATATTTAGAAACTGCTTAACATGTTTCAATAGGATTAACATCTGTTACTTAACCTGTTGTTTTTCTTTTGTAATGAAATATATCAGTCAAATCTTGCATATCCGTTTAGTGAAGTCGTTAGCATATCCATTTGGCATTAGATCTGTAGCTCGATTCTCTGCGAAACATTGTTAATTTTCCATGTTTTAATTTAATTTTTATTTTATTTATTTCAATTTATTTATTTATTTATTTTTGCAACTGAAAAACCTAATTGTCTCTACATCCTGTGCAAAGGAAAAAAAAGTGTCTGTATCTATTTGCACTTCCAAAAGTTAAATTTTTTTATCTGATGTACATAGTTAGTATATGAATTATGTCATTTAAATAAAATATGAAAAAACCAATGCAGTAAAAAGTGCCCCGTAGATATACGAGAATCTTACAATTTTGGTAGCCTACATTGAAACGACTTTCGATGACGATACCGACTTTTGACCGACCGATTAGAATGAGTGTTATCTGAAATTTCATTAATTATTTTCTTCTAATTTGCGATTGCGTTTATTCATTTCTTATAGTAAAGACGTGAGAAAAAAGTAATGTTTTTACAAATAGGAGTACATATACAGTTTTTCAGTAATTCACTACTATATGCCTCTTTCCCTGTAAAAAGCTCACCTAAACAGAGATATTTCTCTTCAGGGTAGACATTACGTCTGCTTTTCCCGAAAATTGTTATTTCTAATAATATTTCTTCTCGTGAAGACTGCTGTCTTTAGTAATATTTCTCTATTAACATATATTACCACATTCATTTATGGAAGTTTGTTGGAAAAACAAAATTGAGATAAAGAGCTGCATTACAAAAACCTTTCTCCTCTTCTTCTTTAAAGTACCAAGTTTTCTCGAACAAACGAAACTTAATTGAATTAAAAAGTTTTTTAAAGATCTTAATTATATTAAAATGAGTGCGTGGCGAGTACAGTCATGCATAACTGCTTTGAATTCTCGCATGACTGACATCTATAACTACTTTCTTGCTCTTCTAAAATTGGTGTATGTATTAATAATATTTAAATGTTATATATGCGTACACAAGAACGTAAACAATCTTACACGTAATTTAAAAAAGCGAGTAGCTTCACTATTCATGTGTAGATAGTTTCAGGAGATGATTAAATAATTTCTGATGTCCATATTATAAAACTCTCACCTACTTTCTGCGTAATGTTTTATTTTAAACTTGCAATTTGAATGGTATAGAGCAGAAATTTTTCCAGTCGTAATCCCCTTTTAACACTGAGATTTTTTCGCGAACCCCAGAACCCCATAATATTTACAAAAATTTTGTGGGACCCCATAAGTATTGTGCAAATCCGACACATGCGTGAGTGAAACTGTCAATTTTTTCACTTGTACTGTAATATACTATTGCACTTTTAGGTCTTTTAAGACATAGAACGATGGGAAAATTTTAAATAAGTAACAGACGAAATGATAGCTTCACATGTAAAGAAAGGAAAATGAACGTTTATATTATATACACTCATGTCCATAAATTAAGGATAATTCGGAGTCACGCGGAAATCGAACTTTAAAATAAATATATCACCTGTAAAATCACTACACACATCTTCAAGAATCATATGCAAATTTTAGGAAGTAACCAGATGACACCGATGGTATGTCACAATGACGAGAGTGTAAGAGAGTGATATATAAGGAATACAGGCAAAGAAGTAAAATTGTTCGCAAGCGCTTTATAAGCATTTCAGTGCAATAACCGAATAGTTATGACACAAAGGACGTATTTGGATGATTGATTACGTGGTAGAATTATCGGCCGTCTGGAATGTGGGCGTACCCAACTAGAAGTATCAGACGAACTTTTAATTGCCCAGAGTGTCATCTCCAGGCTTTGGCAACGATTCCAAGATTATGGTAATGTGAGTAGACGTTACAGCACAGGTCGCCCCAGAGTTACAACGCCGAATGAGGACTGGTATTTGGCAGTTACTGCCAAAAGAAACAGGCGGAGCACAGCCTCAAACCTGTCTCGTCAGCTCTCTTCAGCCACTGGTACGACAATTTCAAGGCAGACCGTGTACAGACGCTTAGGGCAGATTGGTCTATATGCTCGTAGACCTGTCAGATGCGTTCCACTTACTGCAACTCACTGTCGCCTGCGGTTAGCCTGGAGTAGAGAGCATGCATTGTGGACACCGCAACAGTGGGCTTGTGTGATGTTTTTCCGACGAGTCCAGGTTTAGCTTGCAGTCTGATTCTCGCCGGACTTTCATATGGAGAGCTCCAGGTACCCGTTACCACCCAGAAAACATCATTGAACGACACCGTTACGGTGGTGCAGGAGTGCTCGTTTGGGTGGAATTATTCTGGGTTCCAGAACTGACCTGCATGTTCAAATTGGAACCATGACAAGCCAAATCTATCGGGACGTCATTCTGGAACAACATGTACGTTTGTTTCGGGGCGCCATGGGCGCACAATTTGTGTTTATGGATGACAACACCCGTCCTCACCGTGCAAACATCGTAAGCGAATGCCTTCAATCGGAGGATATCACCCGTATGGACTGGCCAGCATTCTCACCGGACTTGAATCCAGTAGAGCACGTGTGGGACATGCTTGGCCGACGAGTTGCAGCCCGTCAACCTCCTCCTACATGTCTACCGGAACTTCGGAGAGCATTGCTTTTTGAGTGGTGTAATATCCCCCAAGATCAGATCGATAATTTGATACTCAGCATGCCTAGGCGTTGTACGGACTGTATTGCATCGTCTGGGAGACATACAATGTATTAACAATCATACCAACCATGTAATATTGGTTTTTTGTAAATAGGTTGTTTTTTGTAATTTGCTCCAGGGAGGAAAAAAATCGCTAATTTTTTTAATAATATCAAACATATAGCATCTTTTCTTTGCTCTTTACCTTTTGTTTAATAAATAAGCTTTACAAATAAGTCAAATTTGTTTTGCTTCTAACTCTTCCTTTGCCTGATTTTGCATTATCCTTAATTTATGAACATGAGTGTATTATAAAAAGAATGCGCCGAAACGTTTTCTTTTTTTTCTTTTTTTTTTTCTTTGTCTGATTTGTCTTATCTTCATCTATTTTCAGATACATTGTGTAAAAATATTTTGTAATTGTAAAATATCAAAACTGCTAAACGCGACCCACAGTTTAAGAAACCCTGGTATAGAGTATTGAAGAAAATATTTGATAAAACATTGAATTTTTGTTTTTTGTAACTAGCTCTTGTTGTTCTCTAGTTAATTAATTATTTAATTATTTGTTTTAAGTCATTTCATGGAGGAGCAGTTTGTTTATAAAATTAATTACTGACAGCTAATATTATTTAGAATCGTTTATACATTTTCCTCACAACCACTAATCGAAATTATTGTAAAATTAATTTTTCAGCAGCAAAAATAAAAAGTAAAGCTAAAATGTGTCTTTGAAGGTGTTTTCATTATAGTTTCAATGAATAAAAGGGACACTAATAAAAGAGTGAGTCGATTTATATTTTCTTCAATAGAAGGCCGATTTCTGGACATTTCGAAATCAATGTAAGACAGTTGAGATTGGTCAAATTCGCAGTTTGAGAGGGCAACAACAAATTTTATACGTGCTCATGCAACTACACATGTAGGAGTCCGAGGTAAAATCCCCCATATCAGGCAAAGGGTCCAACCGAAAATTACCTAAGATATAAATCCACATGCCTAGCCCTTGAGTTCCACACCGGGTTCATACGCTCTTTTTAATTTCTCCCTTACCGCAATTTTGAGCCGGGCCCAGGGAATACCACCGTAGCCTTCGAGAAAAACGAAGGCCACGTTAACACTTCCTCTTCTCGGCGCTACATGTGAGGCATGACTTATTCGCCTGGAAATCTGACTGGTCGTCAATAATGCGCCTTCCAATATTACGCGGGCAGTCCGTCACCTAAGACATTACCCAGCACAGACGCCCTACCAAGCTACTGGTGCCATTGACTCTAGGACTTACGCCAATCTCCAGGATCTGACCGTAATGAAACGATCTTCCTCAGGCTCGTATTTTTGTTCCCCCAGAAGGCTACTGCCAAACTTAAGTACTAAGTCAGTATGTACACCCCAGGGAATATTTGAGAGGGAAGAAAATATTTATCCTTGTTGTCTTAGTCCCCTTTGTCAATTGTCTGGAGATCCGTTGTCTCTTTGTTAAGTTTAGATATTTAGCATTGTCATAGACCTAAATGAAAAATGTATTTTAAGGATAATGGATGCCTTTTGCTGTTTTAAATTTGTTGAGGCCTTAAGTTTCATCGATTTAGGAACTGAAGAATGTGCAGTGATCTTGCCGAGATTCGAATTTTAGACCTCCCGAATATGCTGCAGACGTGCTATCCAGTTACACCACGAAGGCAAGCGGAAAGGAGGGAAAAAGTACCTTATATGCGCCCCTCTTTTAAAGGGTAACTAGGGATGAAGGGACCCAGTCGCCAAATTCTGGTGGACGTCACTTGTAGTCATTTTAGAATTTTTCGAAGCAAGGAAATCGAAGAAATCCGCAATGCCCTGGCTGGAATTCGAACCCCGCACCTCCCGACTGCGCATCGGACTTGCTACCCAGTCACACTTCGAAGGCACGCGGAAGGATGGAGAAAATACATTATAAATTGATTAGACAAATATCGCTATTAAAATAAATAGTTTTCTCTTTCAAACTGAGGAAAAGAGTAAAACATAAAATTTTAAATACAATAATTCTTTATTTTAGAGCCTGCTACATGTGGTAAACCAGAAAGGCCAGCCAACTCTACGATAATTGCAAGGAATTTTGATATAAGCTCTGTTATCGAGTATAGATGCAACCCAGGACATTTACTAGTTGGACCCAACATTAGAACTTGCTTAGCATCTGGCATATTTAGCGAATTTCCACCGAAGTGCCGATGTAAGTATTATGTTTTGGTATGTTTCCTCGAGGAAACATTTCAGTAAGTGAATTGAATGACATTTTATCTGTAGATACTGGTAATTTATGAATAACACGAGAACTAAGTTTCATGTAAACTGCTGCATAACCACTTAGTATTTGCCGTTGTTGTTTTATAGACGTTTCAAAATTTTACCGAAATACTTGTAAGTGAAGTGAAACAATGTAAGTGAAGTATATTTGGTACAATTTCCATTTTCATCACTCTTCGTGGTTTTATTTTTAACAATAAAAGTTTTCTTTTAAACCAAATAACCCTTTTCCCTAGCAATTCTTTCCGACGACTTAACAACGAAACCTTGACGGGATGATTTGCATAAACCATAAGTAACCTTTAACTTTCTGACATGATGTATCCAAATCATTTGTGCATCAGACTTCTTTCTTAACAAGTAATACTAAAATTCTTTTTGAAATTTACATAAAAACTTGAATTTTGAATGATATCGAATGTACTTAACAGTTATGAATTTATTTTTCTTCACTTAACTCATTTTGTAGAATTCGACAAAAAAAAGTACCTATCGGGATTTATGCCTAATAGATGAATTATGAATAATTCAGTTACTGGATTGTCTCGAAGTTTTAGTAGTTTTGACAGTATTTGATATTATCATTTAGTATTAGTAATCCTTCTAAATTAGGAGACAGTTTACTCAAAAATTGTCGCAACATAAAATGCGCCTGTTCTTCGAAACTGTTATCACGTGCATATTTCTGTTTGCTGTTTTATACCTGAAAAGAACCCATTCAGTTTCCTGATATTTTAACACTGTGTGTAATGCTTTTAGTATCATAAATTATTGTCCAAAAATATTAACTTTTACTATAAAGAAACAGGCCTTGCGGAGTTTTTACAAGTTACATTCTAGTCGTGCATTTGAATCACTTCTCGGCTGTTTGGCTAATATCAAAATGTAAACTCTAATGCGATGCTTTTTCACTGAAAATATTTTGAAATAATCCGAATTATTAGATTTTTGGTATTTCAGATTGGTATTTTAATCCAAATGTCAAAACTCTATAGGAAAAAGATCTACATTATACCTGTAGCTAGAGTGTAAAGGAATTGAGACAAATATTTCTGAAGAATGAGGATTCTGTATTAATTTTTTTTCCACGACACATATTCTTCATTAATGTGTTTCCTAAAATTTTAGATTTGGAATGTGGCTCACCTGCACAAATAGCTCATGGTAGCTACAAACTGCTCAACGGTACACGACATTATCTTAGCACCGTACAATATACCTGTGACGAAGGCCATGTTCTGGTTGGACGAGGTACACTTGTATGCGATGTCGACGAGAAGTGGAACGGACCTCCCCCGCGATGTGATCGTAAGTTTTCTAATAAATAAACTATACTTTGTTTTTGCCAGTTATGACGTTGTGATAAATAGGAAAATGAGGATATCAGTTTCATTTTCCATCGGAATTAATTACGATAAATAATTTTCTGTGTTTTCTTGTCTTTCAAAAAGAAGAAAAAAAAAAAAAAATTAAAGCGTCAGTAGCAAATTTGCAATATTTTTTATGTTAGGTGCTAACTGAGCATGATGATGGAATTTTTTCAGCTCCCGAGAACAAACAGATTTTCACAGAAAAAAAGTGATTCGATATAGCTAATTAACACTTTTTCACTGAAAGACTAAAATTTTCATTTTATGGTAAAAGATGTATTAAATTACTAAACTTAGAATAATATTTCATTTTATGCTTTTTGACACTCATTCAAGGTTTCTTACAATATAAAAAGATTTCAAGCTAAAATGGCAGTGTTTTTATGGATTCAGTCTAAAGCAAAAATTAAATATGGTAACTATTAAGACGCGTATCAGAGTAAATATTATAAAATCAATTCATAAACGCAGTTTAAGTTTGAACAGGAAGAAATTAATGTGGTTACAAAATGTGAAGTGTAGAATTTGGCGTATTGTCAATTTTTGTAGACTTATTATTATACTTAACATAGTTAACATTTCTTCTCTTCATAAAGTAACATGGTACGTAACATATTAATTCCTAGCAAAGATAAATACCCATACGTAATAGACATATAGGATGTTTGGAAAATGTGGTTATAGGTTTTGTTTCCTTAAACATGCATCTTATATACTTGTATTTTAAAGTGCAAAGTTTATCAAACTAATGCAGAGAATTTTATGAAAACAGTTTCAAAGCTGTTTGTCGGTGAGAAAGATCTGCAAGTATTAAAAATCTAACTTCTTGCATAGCTTTCGTAAAATAAAAATTTCAATTAGAAAAATATTCATCATTTTGTAATTAATTAAAAATAAAATGTTTCATACCTTTAGATACAAAATTTACTTAGATATTTGTAATTATTATTTTCATGGTGCCCTTTCCAATTTAATAATGAGCGCTATTTTACCGAATACGGAAGTATTAATCGCCAAAACAGGCACTTTTAGTTTTGTTGTTGCCTGTAACCTCATTTTGACTTTTTTTTTTTTATATATATATGTGTAAAAAAAGGTCAGAAGCATTGAAAATGATTAAAGTGTTTAAACTTGTTCTAGAATATTTCCACAAATTCTGCAAACATGGAGTTTTTTGTATTTAACTTAATATTTTAATAACTGCAATTCCTTATCTTCAAAGAAGATGTTAGGATTATAACGAAACCTTCCCAACTATCAGTGATAAAATAATTCTTATAAAATTCTTCATCGTATTCTGTTGTTTAAATTCTAAAAATGTTTTATGTGGAAGTACATATATTAATTATATATATAAATAAAAGCTAAATTAAAGATAATTAACAATGCTATCTAGTGAATGTCTGATAGCTACATGTAATAATCATCATGCAAGGATTAAATAAAAAAAGATTAAGTTATATTAGGTTTCTTGAATACAAACAAATACTACATCTCTGGATAGCTGCTTGCAAGCGAATAGATGAGTTTAAAACTGAAAATACGACCATTTGGTGTTATATATTTTAAAGATGAGGATTATTGGAATACCACATCGCAAAATTTTAAAAGATGCAGTACCATATCTAAATTTACTGAAAACTAAAAAGAGGGAATGACAAGTAAAACGTCAAAGAAAAAGAAAAATGAAGTCTTTATTAGACAAATACCCGGCATTTATTGACACTGATGAGGATGGTAACAGTAACCGATAAGGACTGGTAAGAATCGGTAACCGGGTTCCGATGCAAATTACTAAGGCTGAGCTTCTTTTTTAATAAAATCTCAAGGAGCTTGACTCGGGCGCCAGTTCTTTTTTGATATGCAAAGTACATAACAAATAAAAAAATATACCCAAGTTAAAATACTTAATAAGTAGAAAAATTATTCTCGCAAAAATTCAGAACTTTTTTACAATATAAATTTTGCTTTGATATCGGACATTTTTAAAATTTTGAACAAATATGCATATAAAGTTATCAAATCGATTTTCTTATATCATATTTAAGGGTTCACACCAAAATCACTGTCAGTGTCCTCAGATTCTTTCTACGGTACTACTTTCCGCAAAACTATTTTCATGTGTATATGATTTAAAAAGAATAGTATTCGTTCTCAGCGAGGGAAAAAAAGTATAACTATAGATGCGAATAATTCGACAATATTTCACAATTCAGTATCTTAGCAAGCACTGCGCTGTGTTGTTGGACACATTACATATTAAAAAAATTATTTGACCTTCCCTTCTCTTGATCGAAAAGAAAATAACGAACTTCTGAATCTGTCTATCAGTAAATAAAGCACTACCATTTGCATAACGATGGTGAGCAAAGAAGGTCCTGTGAAAAGGAGATCTTGTGCATTATGAAATTGTTCCCTTAAATTTTAAATTATCCTCGGTATTTTTGTTACTTTGTAGAGTCATTAGGTTAATTGGAAGCAGAAAAGATGAAAAATATGCAACCGCCTTCGCCGGGGAATCGAACCACGGACCTCTGGAATACCGACCCAGCGTGCTACCGTTACACCACGAAGGCACGCTAGGGAAGTGGGAGAAATACCTTATAACTTAATTCAAGTTTAATGTTGAAATACTTGTAGCTTGTCTGAATATAAAGAATTTAAGTTTTGATCAACACTTTTTTAAATACTTTTACAATTTCCGCTTCCGTTAGTTAAAAGAATAGGGAATAGCTGGTTTGGAGCAGACTGACTAAGTCAAGTGAGGTCCCAAACTCAGGGGTTCACCTTGAAGAGAAATTTGTGGTCGGAAAAAGTAAACTCTGCAATACAGTGACCTTGGTAAATCTGAAGTTTCTGCATAAAGAATTGAGCTGCATGCTTCAAGAATGCGCAATTTCTTTTGCATTAAATTTGCAGTGAGAAAATCAAGTCTAGAGTTAAAAGTATAATATTTATGTATGAGCTAAAAAAAAGTTTATACAGCTGAGATTCAATTTTTCTGATTTTAATTTTAATCATAATTCCATTTTCTAACACACTGACTTTATTGTTTTTGAAAATATTTTCAACTACACAAACAGGAATTAAAATTTATTTTTATCCTTACAGCGTTTTATTGCCGTCAACCTCCTGCGATTGCAAATGGCCACTTCGTAATGTCGTCCAATACAACAGTGTTTGGAACTGTGACAAGATATTATTGTGACGAGGATTTTGTTATGAAGGGAAAAGATACTATAACATGTGTAGCTAGTGGATACTGGGATGGTGAGCCACCTGTATGCATAGGTATGTAGTCATTCATTAATAGCTAGTTGCTGGGAAAGTTCTGGCTACTCATGTGTATACCAGTCGATAACTTCAAAAATCTAAGCATCCCTCACTTTGTCAACCATGAGTAGTTAAAAAGCGGGACTGTCCTGTTAAATTGTTTGTAGAACAAAACATTAGATGAGATATTACAAGAAACACTTTGTTTCACCTTTGCTTTTTTTCCCCTTTGATTTGTCTTTTATTTACAATTCATTGTTAAATTCTTCTTGTTCCGAAAATATATTCATTTTTTCATTTTTATGATATCAATATCGATACATCAATATTCACTACAACTCAGTTATTGTTAAACTAGGCTTTATTTATTTACATTAAAATGAAAAGAATTAATCGTCAAAACATTTTGCACGTGTCTGTGGCTCACTATCGTTCAGCTCTCGTCTAATTGCAGGTAAGCATCACTAAAACTCACGAAGTTATTGTTAAACTAGGCTTTATTTATTTACATTAACATGAAAAGAAAACTAATAAGAATTAATTGTCAAAACATTTTGCACGCCTCTTTTTGCTCACTATCGTTTAGCTCTCGTCTAACCGCGCGCTCATCTAGATGGCGCTTACTCAGTTAAGGTTATAGTTCCCTATATACACCTCTTTATTGATATTGATGTTGAATTACTCCAAATTTGAACATTAAAAGTTCAAACAGGAAGTTATGATTGACTTTAGACGAATAACTGGAAAACACATACCTGGATATATGCTGTTTGAATGTACCCGTTTTTAAAGAATGGGTAGTCATATTTCCAAACGCATCATATTTCCCTCGAAAGTAATAGACCTTGTACCAGACAGTGAAAAGATTTTAAAGTAACGCATATTCAAACTACTGTTTGTCCCCTAAGTTTATTAGATGGTCAATGCAAAACACATACGCAATGAGACTACACATCTTAGTTATTTTTGAACCTATAAGAACCAAAATCTTTCCATACTGGCACCAGCATTAGTACAACCTTCCATCTTTTTCTGGCGACATAAGCAACTGGCTTGCAGAGGATCGATTCGAATCGGAGATTTGTCCTCTACTTCTGCCTGTAAACGTCAACATTAAAATGTAGCGTTTTTGGGAACTACGACACGTCTATAACTATCGTCTATGAAGAGCAATGATGTATAACATATTTTCAATAGGCTGAAGAAACATATTAATCCTTATTTATAACTATAATTATGTGCAGTTATTTAGTGGTTTTTGCTATTTTACTTTTTCACTGAATAATAGTTGAGGACGATGAATTATTTAACGCACACGTTATGGATAAAACACTTCACTCAAAATACATCTGTTTCTCTAAAACGCACATTTATTATTATGCTGTGCATAAAAAATGTATAAATTGATTAAAGATGAATAAGAAGAAAAGTTGGGGAATTTATTTAAAAATTTTTCTTAACGTCTGAGTTCAAAAATAATCTACAATCTTCTGCTTGTGTGATACAAGTATTAAGAACATTTTATTCATAATTTTGAAATGACTCACGATTCTGTAGTTTTGTAAAAGTTTCGCAGAATCTGCAGTTTTAGCAGAATTGCTGTTTTTATAGAATCTGCAGTTTTCACAGAATCGATCACACTCGATTCTGCTGTTTTCGTGGTTAAAAAATTAATCAATAACGTGCATCGCTGTTTTAGCCTCCGCAGTAACTTTCCATGTATCCTATTTCTTCAACTTGTTCATTAATATCAGTCTAAGAATCTTGAACATTAACATTTTCCCATTTAATTTCTGTTGCAATAACTACGCTACTAGAATTTTTATGTGCAATAATATCGTCATAACATGTCTGGAAAAGCTGTTAGCTACATTCTGGAATTGTTGAGATGTCATTTTTATCTAGCCATCGTGATAGATAAATCATCGTTTTTATTACTCTCCTCTTTAAAACCCAAGGGAAGAGTTAAATAAAAATAAGAGGCTTTTGACATCTGAAAATATTGGAAAGGAAGATCATTTCATCACCGACTTGTTCTGCCTAGCGTGCCATGAAAACGCATTCCTACTTCACACTATATGCTTATTGTGTGTCATAGTCTTCTAAGAACTGGGTGTTGCAACAAAATGCAGACTTGTTCAAAACATAAAAAAAGATGAGGGAGATAGAATAATAGTTAAAATATTTATAACTATTCACAACAGCCTAAAGTCGGATGATTTTAAAAGAAGCTGGTTAATTGTGAAGACAGAGCTTGCAGAACTTCAAAAAATAAATAAAGGAAAAAAAAGAGACGAAGTCATCGATAAAATTCGTTCTATCCAATTTTCACACATTTGAAGGCTCGTCATAACCTTGTAATGTAATAATATAAGAATAGGAAAATAAACAGGGCAAAATTTTTTTTCACTATACCATGAATTATTATAACTCAATTCACTGTGGAGATAAGAGCTGTGTTACCAATTTTCATGTATTTTAAGCATCTCTGTAGCTGAATAAAATAACATTCTATTGTCAGCCTGATGTGCTAATCACTTCATCAATATTACATTTGTAAGCAACATTACACATGTAGGAAATTGGGGACCCAAAACTTCGCTTACTATATTTGCAAATGCATTATAAGTGTGTTCGCTATGCAGACCATATATATATATATACCAAGAGAGAGAGGTTTGAGTATATAAAATAACATTTATATTTATATTTATTAGGCAATTGCATTTCAAAATGCATCTATCTGTAAGTATGCGACTTTAAAACTAACAGTAGTATTCCTTAAACTGGATTTTCAACTGTGTATAAATACGGTTGAGATGCGATTCTGATGATGAAACTTAGCGCAACGATTTAACTTCATATCTCCTTATTACACTTTTGCTTTTCCATAAGACGTTAAATCTCAGAAAACAAAGCAATCAGGATAAACACTCCTTTGCTGATTATTACTTTTGTGTTCTTGTTCTTATTACCAAATTTATGAGTGTACTTTGTTATCAGTTTCATACTACTGAGAAGATTTGTCAATGATTTTAGAAATAACGAATTATTTTATTCATTTGTTTTAATATAAATATCAATTTATAAAAATTTCTTTCCAGCAAAAACAGATAGTAAAACTTCAACATTCTATACTAATACAGAAGAAAATGTGCCTGTATCTGATGTACGACAAGTTTTCCCATCGTTCGCATCTCCTTCTTCCTCATACAGCAGTACCCCTGAACCATCACAAATAGTAGATTTTAAGCCATCTGCTACACCTTCTGTGGTAACATATATTCCAGGCAGCGGTTATCCATCATATACAGAAGATACACTCTATGGCACGAAGATTTCAAACGAAACACTTCAACCTTCTCGAGTTATACCTTCCATTCACACTTTAAGCACCAGTACATGGCCAATCAATAATGCCTCAGATAAGTTTCGACCTGCATGGACACCTCCTCCACTGGAAATAATACCTGCAGATGATTTAGAAGACTCGTTTAATTATCTTGAAGAATCTCCCAGCAACAGAATACAAAATTATGAAGAAGCACCAAACAGAATACCTCCACATTTATATCCGACTCAACGACAGTCCTCTGAAATTGTGCCATCATCTTCATCATCAGTATCTCGGTACACACCAATTACTACAGCCTCTGTAAGTACGCAGAAGACAACACAAGACACCCCAATTATTACAGCAAACGATAATCAAGGAAATGATAACAGCATCTTCCAGAGGAATGACAAAAATGTTAAATATGGCCATAAGCACGATGGAAAATCTTTGAATAGTGCTCAGGCGAAGTTGAACATGGGTATGATATTTTCTTTATAAATCTGAGTTTTTTAAACTGAAAAGTACTTTTCATAACTGCAGTTTTTTATTTGTTATAATGAATGTTCCGTAATTTACTTTTATTTACATTTACATCTTAGGTGGTATAATTGCATTAGGAGTGTTTGGAGGCTTTATCTTGCTGGCAATAACAGTAACGCTTATCCTCATCTTTGTCCGACGGTAAGTTGTTTTAACAATTGTAGAAGAATATGTATTCTGATGAAGAAAGTAAAATAAACATGTGCTGTGATATAACACCAAGAGAGGCAAATATGCGTATTACAAGCGCTTAAATTATTAATTCTAAAAATGCGTACTATATTCTAAGTTTACCAAATCTTGACTTTTTGTTCAATTCAGTATTATTTTCTCTAACTTTACTTCTTTATTAATGCTAACCTATAACTAACTTTTATACCTGCAGTCATCATTAATACTTTTATAAAGTAATTTTAAGTTGCATTAATTTAAAAATTGATTAAGCATGAACTAAACGTGCTTTTATTTCTGAATGAACGTCTTTCTTAGGATACGGAGTAAGAATAAAATCTTGAGTTTTAATTATTTCATCCACATTATTTATGCTTCTAACAAGTTCTGTGTCCCTTGTATTCCCCGCCGCCATTGAATAAAGTATAATTAAATGAAGACGTAGATTTCAGCTTCGTTTTATTATCAAACAGTTTATATGGAATTAGTTGGTGACAATATTGTTGTGGAGACGGCGTTGGCTTTCATGGCTTGAATGTAAAGCTACACGAAAACATAAGCGAGGAATGACTTTAACAGTCAACAAAATACTTAGATATTGTTTTAATTTATAATGTATACCTGAAATATAATATTTAAAATATATTTTTCATTCGGTTTAATAACTTAGGATAATAATGTGCCATGTAATAAATTTACGTACCAGTTCTTCTGTTGAAATGCTGAATCCAATAAACCTAATGAAACGTTACTTCCCATGACTTAAAAAATGCAGAAATCATGATAAAAGTCCTTTAAATTCCAAAAAAACCGTAATATTTAGTTATTTTCATTGCATTTAATCATATTTGTGCATAACAACTTTATATATTCAGCTTTTAACTGTAGCACTCATATGTACCAAGCAAATGGTTGTGCACTTTTTATTTGAATATGTTTAACTTAATGAACAGGTTATGTTCTTAATGTAACTTAATGAACAGGTTAACTTAGGTTCTTATGCATAGGCAGTTAATATTATTCCATAAACTCTTCAGTCTAAAAGCCTCAATTTTATAGTCCCTTATGCATTGAGAAAACATTTCTAGGCTCTATTTCCGCTCTATTTGTAAGTTTTTGTGATTTGATCCAACTCCTTTACCGCAGAGGCACTGCTTTTAGCTTATCCTAACCACCAGCGCCTCTGTTAACAGAACACTAAATTATTTTCTTTTGGTGGCGGATTCGCTGTTATCGAGAACCCCAGCGCCTCTGCCCCTCTTAATACCACGCGTTCACTAACATTTCAGGGTTCACTAGGCCTAACCACTCACTCCAGGATGCTTCTCTTCAGGACTCGAAGCCAGAGAACATCTCGCCGGTCTCTGGACACTACAACCATTACTACTTACGATAGCAGTGGCAGTGGAGAACATGGACTTCATAAGTTTTACAAGAGGGCTTGGGAAAATTTGCGCTATGATGGCAAAAGTTCAGGATTCCCCTGCGGCTTCGAGCGACCACATTCACCTGTAACTCGCCAGGAAACACTGGACCATCCAGCCATCCGTGGTAACGGCAGAGGGACCATTGAAGGTTTCAGGGAAGCAAGTGAAATTACTGTTAATGATGTTGCTGCGCTATATGCTCGTCCTGCTAAGCGGGATAAGCATGGCGGTATGTCTCGTAGTCATTCTCATGAACATTTACGGGATGATAGTCCCTCCAGCGATAAAAAAGCTATACGAGAATGGTACAGTCAGCAGTTGGGTCATCATTCTAGAAGAGGAATCTTTTAATGTTGTATATGTATAATTTATTATGAAATGTAATTAAGAAAAATACCATACTCACACACAAAAAATGTGCTCCTAATACATTCAAAAGATTTCCTTTCTTACTATAAGAAATATGCCCTTTCATGCAAATATTATATTTCATGTAATTATGTCTTTATTTAATATTGCAAAACTACACAAAAAATCACCAATCATCATCGGCCAGAAAGAAATGCAAAATGAAAATTATATTTTCTGCTATTAGATGTTACGAGACTATTATCCATAATCTGTAAGGTTAAAAAATGGCTCAAAATTAACATAAAAAATGTTAGTACTGAATACTTTTATATAAGTTGCGTATTTAAACTTAAAATAGTTAGAACCTCACTTTTATTTCTAAAACTTGTGTTACGTTATGAAAATCGACCTTGCGTGACCCAAAGTTTTCATGCTGTGGTTAATAATTACTTGACTACATGCATATTATCACAAACATGAACTACTCATTAATTTCGAATGTAGGACGAATTTCATTCTAGACCTGAAGCCTTAAATGTAGAATGAGAAAAAGTTCAAAGTTGCACTGAAATCTTAATTTATTTACTGAATCTGATGTCTTACCTTTGTTCAGTGTTTCCACTTGTTAATCATTCCTTCATTGTTGCGAAATTTCGCGCGTTTTTGTTATTGTGTCTGTTAGTTGTGAAACTTTTAAGTGACTGTAGATGAATGTAATTTTTTGTGAATATTATACGATTGACCAAATAGATATGTTAAAAAAAGCTTTTAAATATGTAAGAACGTTTTATTAACTTATGCTATAGTTACACATACATTACAAATTGTTTTCCTCATAAGAGTTCATTATTTATTGCACCATTTTGAGCAGATTTATATTTCGATGTGAATAAATGCCTTTACTGAATGAAGTCATTTTTTATGTATTCGATCAAAACTAATATACTGTAATAAACTATTCGTGCCATCATGTGAGAAACGCTTACAGTTTATATGACTGTGAATAAATATTTATATAAATAAATTACATTCGTGTAAATTAATTTATTAGGCATTAAAATGAAATTTCATTTCATTAAAGGCATTTATATTTTAAATGTTTGGTTCAATTTACAGTGATCATTCTTGCTTATTTAAAACATTTTAATAAATAAAGTATTTATGAATTTATTTGTGTTTTGTTTTTAACATAGAATAATTTTTAATACATTCATGTTTTTAATGTAAACAAATAATACTTCTTTCAAAGACAGTAGTTCTCCTATAATAGATTCCAAAAACTATTGCAGTTATGCGAAACTAAGGGTAACACCAAACACTGTTAATGCTCTCAACCTTAAGGCTGCATATGCTGAGCGGATGTCTGATCAATTTCGGCACAGGATTTTTTAAAATTATCTCCCCGCAATTTTCTTTATTGAACGGGGCGGGAGTTCAAAATATAGATAGAACACTGTTCATATAAATAGATAGAAATATGTGATATTCATGTAATACATATAAATCTGGTAGAGTTTAATCGATAAATTATTCACAGTAAGTCCAAAAACATTTAACAAAATAATACTGAACTCTACTTTATTCTGTACATTGTACATTTACAGTGGATGGACAAAAATATGGAAACACCTTGTGAAATGCATGTTTGAAAAGAAAGATTGATTTTAATGAAATATGTAGGCGGCGCTGGCGGTTTTGACTACTGATGCCACCTATACAACTTTGTAAATGTGCTAAACAGTTCAGTTGTTGTCGGAGTACTGTTATGTGAAGTTGTCATTGCATTATGTCAGAGTTAACAGACTTCGAACGTGGGCAAATTGTTGGAGCACGTATGGTAGGTGCTTCCGTAAGCAAGGTAGCCGAGGTGTTTAGTGTTTCAAGAGGTATTGTATCGAAGATTTATTCCGCATATTTGAAAAGCGGAAAAACATCATCTGCTAAATCACAGCGCGGACGAAAGTGTGTCCTGAGTGATCGTGACAGACGATCATTAAGGGCAATTGTGACGAAAAATAAGAAGACCACAGCTGCAAAAGTTACTGCTGAAATGAATGTTGTGTTACCGAACCCTGTGAGTACCAAAACAATTAGAAGGGAGCTTCATAAACAGGGAAATTGCTGGCCGTGCTGCAATTGAGAAGCCACTCATCAGTGATGCTAATGCCCGTAACAGGAAAAGGTGGTGTTTAAGTCATAAAGCCTGGACTATAGAGCAGTGGAAGTGAGTAATATGGTCTGACGAGTCTTCTTTCACATTGTTTCCCACTTCTGGCCGAGTTTACGTCTGGAGAACGCCATCTCAAGCCTATAATACAGACTGTTGTTGCCAAGAGTGAAACATGGCGGGGGGTCTGTTATGGTTTGGGCAGCCATATCGTGGTTCTCTGCCAGCCCCATGATAACTGTGTCAGGGCACATGACTGCCAAGACTTATGTGAACATTCTGGCCGATCAAGTTCATCCCATGGTACAAACTTTGTTCCCCGATGGTGATGGTGTCCTCCTAGACGACAAAGCCCCTGTTCACACAGCTCACATTGTCCAGGACTGGTTTTCTGAGCACGAGGATGAGTTGTCCCATCTCCCCTGGCCACCACAGTCACCAGACCTGAATATTATCGAACCTTTGTGGTCTACATTGGAACGGAAAGTGCGTTCTCGTTATCCACCGCCAACATCGTTATCTGAACTTGCCACCGTTTTGCAGGAAGAATGGTATAATATTCCCTTGGCAAACATACAGGAACTGTATTTATCCATTCCGAGAAGACTGCAAGCTGTTTTGGATGCCAACGGGTTTCCTACACCATATTAAGCAAAGAAACATGTTTTTTTTAAAGGTGTTTCCATATTTTTGTCCAACCCCTGTACAAGGTACTTTGCTTCGGTCGCGCGTATAGATATAACAGATTTTGATAGCTTAAACTAATTCTCAAGATATGATACAGCAATTCAAAAATAATGCACTTCTGTAGTTTACTATGTACAGTGTTAAGCGAAGTATTAATGTGAACAGAACAATAAAAATCGTGCCTTTTATTAAATGGTTATACTACAATGAAGGGTATTTTTGCGCATGTTCAGAATTTCCGAAGGAAAACAATACTAATAACACATAACATGATTGAGCAGCTGTATTTCATCAAGCTATGGCTCGCTTCCATTCAATGTGTATTTTATAGCTTATAAACAATGGTGTTATATACATAGTTATTTTATTATTTAGAGAAGATAAGTGTGATGGTGTGGGAGTGCCAAAGGTCGAGCAGCGCGTTATTGAGTAGGTGATCATAATGTTTTGGCTCTTCAGAGTATGTGCGGGATCTTTCTCCGTGCGAATTAGTCGCTCAATATCGTAATCGAAGCCCTAGCATGCTTTCATTTCTGTATACTAAGAACATATAGTGAATTTAAGTTTCAGAAAGCAGCGCCTCCTTTTGCGCTGTATCACGTAAAGAACATCAGTAAAACAAAAAGACGAAAGTAAAAGTCAGGTGGCCGCCATCAGTCGACGAAAAAGGTGAGTGTCTGGTCGAAGGTCCAAATCAGTGAACCAAAGAATCTAGTATAAGTAAAAAATGTTAAGGATGGAGAATGTGGAGATGGATATTTGCGCTTTTCTCTGGGAAATGGAGAACATCTAAGAGAGTTGATGCAGTTGTTATGATGAGTGAGAACTGAATAGAAGAAATTTCTGGCAAGTTTTTGAATATAATCTTGAATTGTATCTACTTTGAGATCACGGTGGATATATGAATTTGGAATGAACCGTGGCGCGTTGATGATCTCTCTGAGTGCTTTGTTTTGAAGAACTTGGATGTGTTGAAGGTGAGTTTGGGCTGCGTGTCCCCAGACAGGACTAGCATAGAGTAATGCTGGTCGAAGTATAGATTTATATAAAAGGAGTTTGTTAGAAACGGACATATGACTTCTTCTGCCAAGAAGCGGGACCACAGTTGCAAGCGTGATATTGATTTTTTTTTTCACAGTTTCCCTGAGATGTTTCTAAAAAGTCAATTTTTTATGAAGAATGACTCCTATATATTTAACCTCGTCAACCCATTCGATTTCTTCATCAAACAGAAGAGGTCTAGGTGGAGTGAAATTTGTTTGGCCTTTGCGAAAAATTATTGCTTTTGATTTTTCGTTATTAACTGCAATCCTCCAAAGAGTAAGCCAATTTTTTAGATGATTGAGGTAATGCTGAAGAAGGAGCTAGACATCAGTAACAGTAGAAGCTTGGGTCATAATTGCAGTATCATCAACGAAAAGAGCAATGGTAATTTGTGGGTCCTTAGGAATATCGTAAATGTAAATGTTATATAAATATGGAGAAAGTACAGATCCTTGAGGCACTCCAGCGAAAATTTTTTTCGTGGAAGAAACAGAACTGCCAATTTTCACTGCAAAGATACTGTCTTGGAGATGAAGCAATAAGTCTAATACAATGATCGGGGAAGTTTAACTTGATAAGTTTGTATATAAGTCCCCGGTCCCATACCCTATCAAAAGCTTTCGCAATATCAAGGAAAATGGCTCCGGTAGGGAACTTACAATTAAAACCGTCAGTAATATAGTTGATGACACGAAGCAGCTGGTGATTAGTACTGTGAAGATGACGGAAGCCAACCTGTTCTTCTGGAATGTAGGAGTTCTGTGGAATAATTTGATTAAAATGATAAAGAATAACTTTTTCAGCTATTTTAGAAAGTTGACTGAGAAGGCTGATTGGGCGGTAGTTCTGGGGAAACGTTAAAGTTTGATGCGGTTTTTGGGAAGACGACGATGATGGCATGTTTCCATATATTAGGAAAGTAAGAGATTTGATGATAGAGTGATTATCTTAGTAAGACAGTGATGGCATTGATAGGAAGATGTTTCAACGCTTTGGTAGAAATACCATCAACACCAGAGTTTCTGGTTATGGAGCCAATATAATCGGCAACCAGCTTAAGCGTGGCAAGGAATGTAAAGTTCAAAAGACATGGGATTTTTAAGAAGGTATTAACTGTATCATTAACTTTAGAGACATGATTGTTGTCATAGAAGATAGTAACTAATACTAAATCAGAAGTCAAACAACAAAAATCAGCGTTATATTTACCAAATTTTCACAGGACTAGTTTCGATGGTTTTACCGAACCACCATCTTCAGCTGCAAAACCGCAAATGAACCAAATAGGAAATAATGATTAGATAAGATAAGAAAGCCTGGACAAGAATAAGCAAGTGGCGCCATCTGTTGGTAAAACCAGAACTAAAACATAATTTCTTTAAAGGCCGAAGGCAAATTTGGATTGGAATTAGGATCGTTAACTAGAACAGAAAGATTTTTATGAATGTGAAATGCCTCTAGAAAATCCAGTTCTCCAATGGAAGATGTTTTTTGAATAATTTTGGCAGCAGTAAAAACTGAAAGTGTGGTTTTCGGACCAACAATGTTGAGCAACAGAAGACTTCTGTGTTTCCTTTTTTCTAACATATGCCTCATGTTCCTTGACGCGAAATTTTAAGGCTCTCTTAGTTTGGCCAATGTAAATTAAACCACACTGGCAAGGAATCCTATAAATACACCAGGAATTCATATCCGGAATGGCGTCCTTGAGTATGAAACTCGGAATTTTATTGATGGGAGAGAATAAACAACCTGAAAGTTAAAATTTCTGCAAAATATGTGCAACTTTATAGCTAATTGATGGAAAGAAGGGAATGACAACAGAATTTTTATAATCTCCTAAAACAAGAGTGTGCCTTTTAGTGTGTTGAGATGAGAATTTTTTAACTGCTTGATTAATAATGTTGGGTGGAAAGCCCCTGTCAATAGCTATTGCTTTTAAATAATTTAGTTCTTCATCAAGGGCTAGTTTGGAGGAGCAAACTTGAAGAGCACGGAAAACATAGGAATAAAATGAAGCTAACTTTTGTTTAGTCGGATGACATGATTTAAAGTGTGGTGGAAGGCAAACCGATGAAGGTTTACGGTAAACCGTAGTACTGAAGTTGGATGTGTTACGTGTGACCAGAATGTCGAGAAACGGAAGAGAATTGCAAGTCTCAAGTTCAAAAGTGAACTGAATAGCAGGATCAATAGAATTCATTGTTGAAAGAACTTTATTTAAATCATCTTTATTACCTTCAAACAGTAAAAGTATCGTCTACGTAGCGGA